CCTCAAAATGTTACATATATGAAGCTACCATATGACCCAGCAATTGCACTTCCAGGTATATGCTCAAGAGAAATAAAAACTATGTTCAGGACTTCCCTGGTGGCTCAGTGGTTAAGAATCCACCTGCCAATGCAGGGGACATGGGTTCAAGCCCTGGTCTGGGAAGATCCCACATGCCGCGGAGCGACTAAGCCCATGAGCCACAACTACTGAGCCTGCGTTCTAGAGCCCGCGAGCCACAACTACTGAAGCCCACATGCCTAGAGCCCATGCTCCACAACAAGAGAAGCCACCGCAATGAGAAGCCCATGCACCGCAACGAAGAGTAGCCCCCGCTCGCCACAACTAGAGAAAGTCTGCATGCAGCAACAAAGACCCAACACAGCCAGAAATAAATAAATAAAATATTAAAAAAAACTTATGTTCATACAAAAATTTGTACATTAATGTTAATAACAGCATTCCTAATAGCCAAGTGGTAGAAACAATCCAAATGTCCACCAACTGAACAGATAAACAAAATGTGGTATATCAATACAATGGAATATTATTTGGCAATAAAAAGGAGTCAAGTACTGATATATGCAACAACATGGATAAACCTTGAAAACATTATGCTAAGTGAAAGAAAGTGGTCACAAAAGACCATACAGTTTATGATTCCATTTATATGATTTGCCAGAATAGGAAAATCTATAGACATAAAGTAAATTAGTGGTTGCCTAAGGCTGGGGGTAAGTGAATGTGGGAAATGGGAAGTGACCACTGGTAGGTATGGCGTTTCTTTTTGGGTTGATGAAAATGTTCTAAACCTAGATTGTGATTGTTGCACAACTCTGAATTTACTAAAAATCACTGAATTGTATACTCTAATGAGTGAAGCTTATGGTATGTGAATTTTCTTCCAATAAATATGCAAATCTCATTTTTAAAAGCACCCCAAATCATGAAATATGTAGGGGTAAACTTTACAAAGTACGTAGGGGACCAGGACCCTGAAAATTACAAAACATTCCTGGGAAAAGCTAAAGATGTAAACAAATGGAGAAATATATCATGTTCAATTATCGATGACTCAAAATTGTCAAGATGGCAATTCCCCCCAAAGTAATCTATAGATTCAATACAATCTCAATCAATATCCCACCAGACTGATTTTTAAAGAAAGCTGATTCTGAAACTTACATGGAAATGCTAAGGACCTAGACTTGTCAACCCTATTTTGGAAAAGAACAACAAAATTGGAGGACTCACACGATCTAATTTTAAGACTTACTATAAAAGCACAATAATCAAATTAGTCTGGTATGGAATGAGGGTAAACATAAATCAATGAAACACAATAGTGTATAGACATATATGCATACACATATGGTCAACCAATTTTTGGCAAATGCCAAGGTAATTGTATCAGTGAAAGAGCAGTCTTTTCAAAGAATGGCACTGGAGCACTGGATATCAATTTGGAAAAAAATGTCCTTCTATCCTCACTTCATACCATACAAGAAACTTATCTTGAAACAGATCATAGACTTAAATATAAGAGCTAAAACAATAGCATTTCTAGAAGAAAACATAAAAGAAAACCTTTGTGACCTTAGTTTAAGCAATGATTTCTTCGGACACCAAAAGGATGAATCATAAGAGAAAAAAATGTTAAATTGAACTTTATCAAAATTAAAAACTTGTGCTCTTCAAAAAACATTATTACAAAAATGAAAAGGCAAGCCACACATTAGGAGAAAATATTTGTAATAAAGGACTTATATCCAAAATGTATTAAAAAACTCCTACAAGTCAATAAGAATAACTCAATTATTTAAAAATGGGCAAAACATCTAAACAGGTATTTTGCAGAAGATATACAAAAGACCAAAAACCAAATAAGAAGACCGTTAATATCACCAACCCTCAAGGAAAAATAAAAACCACAATGAGGTGCCACTGTATATGTACTAGATTGGCTAAAATTAAGAAGACTGACAATGCTGAGTGTTGGTGAGGATGTGGACCAACTGGAATTCTCATAGATTGCTGGTAGAAATGCAGAATGGTACAGCAATTTGGAAAGTAGTTTAGCAGTTTTGTGTAAAGTTTAACATATGCTTACTATGTGATCCAGCAATATCACTCCTAGGTATTTACCTAAGAGAAATGAAAACACGTCTATACAAATACACTCAAACATTCCTAGCAGCTTTATTGACAATAGTCCAAAAACTGGAAACTACCCAAAATGTCCATATGTCCATTAACAGGTGAATGAACAAATTTTATATAAATTGTAGAGTGGCATATTACTCAGATATAAAAAAGGAGCATATTACTGTTTTATCAACAACGGGGATAAATCTCAAAAGCATTGTGCTAAGTGAAAAAAGCCAGCACAAGAGACTACATATTGTATGGTTCCATTTAAATGAAATTATAGAAAAGGCAAAACTATAGTGACAGAAAGTAGATCAATGGTTGCCAGAGACAGTTGTAGGTGGAAGGAACTGACTGCATGAGGCATGAGGAACTGGGGGCAGGGCGGTGGAAATTCTCTACCTTGATGTTGGTGGCTACTGCCCCATTTGTCAAATGCATCGAGCTGCACACTTAACACTAGTGAATCTTACTGTATATAAATTATATCTCAGTACAGCTAATAAAAGAACTGACTCAAAGAAATAGAAACATCTGAGAAGATCTAAACCTATTAAATAAATCACAATAGTTTGAAAATCAAACCAGTCCCACACAGTTCATTCACTTATTTACTCACTCATTCATTATATATTGAGTTCCTACAACATACCAGACACTAGTATAGGGGCTGTATGGATACTGCAGCAAAGCAGGCAAAATCCATGCTTTCTTGGAGTCTATATCCTGGTTGGGGGGAAAAGACAATGCACAAATGAAACCTCATGTCAGTAATGGGTCCTATGGGGGAAAAAGTGATCATGGGTGGGGTAGAAATGGGGGTGCTGTTTGTGGCCAGGGAAGACCCTTCAATGAGATGACATTTGAACAAAGACCAGATTGAAGTCAGGGGCAAGTGTGTCCCTGGCATGGGGGAACATGAAATTGACTAAAGGGGACCAATGATGAAGGCAGGCATATCTCTTAGGAGGCCCTGCAATAAACCTGAGCAAGAGGTGATGGTCACCTGGACCAGAGTGTAGCAGGGAGGTGGTGAGATGTGGTTAGATGAAGGTAGAGCCAACAGGATTTGCTGGTGGGTCAGATATGGGGTGTTAGAGAAAGAGGGTTTCATCCTGGCTAATTGGAGGAATAGCTATTTACTGGGAGAGGATCAGGTCTGGGGATGGGGGAAGAGATTATAGATAGAAATCAAGAATTTGGATTTAGACATGCTAAGTTTGAAATATCTATTAGATATCTGTTAAGTGTTTTGAGTTGGACAGAGGATCTGGAGCACAACAGAGAGGCTGGGTTTACAGAATAAATGTCAGAGTCTTCATTTGTATAGGTGGTCTTTAAAACTATGGGAATGGGTAAGATTTAGGGAGATCTCATAGATAGAGGAAAAAAATAGGTTTGAGGGCAGTTTTACAGATCAGCCTCCCAGGTCTTTAAGGGCAGATAATCCTGGTCTCATATTCACTGTTCTGCTGCATGGAAGGAGGGAACACGCCATGCCTCGGTTCATGAGGCTAATATGCCTTGACATCCAAATAAGATATGGAATTTATAGGCCAACCTCACTTATGAGTATATAAGTTAAAAAAAAAAGTCTTATTAACAAAGCAAATCTAGAAGTTTATAATAAAATCAGTAATGTTTATCTCAGGAATGCAAAGTTGATTGAATATTTTTCTATTAGTATAACTTACCACATTAACAGACTAAAGAAGAGAGAGCCCCTGATAATATGAATAGGAAAGCATTTGATAACTAATTCGATAATCATGATTAAAAAGAAGAAAATTAAACTTTTCAAAGTAGAGTAGGATTAGACGGAGACTTCCTTAACCTGACAAAGGGTATCTACCAAACACTTCATACTTAATGGAGAAACATTAGAAGCATTCCTTTTTAAAAAATCACGTATGGGGACTTCCCTGGTGGCGCAGTGGTTACGAATCTGCCTGCCAATGCAGGGGACACGGGTTCGAGCCCTAGTCAGGGAAGATCCCACATGCTGCAGAGCAACTAAGCCTGTGTGCTGCAACTACTGAACCTGCGCTCTAGAGCCCACGAGCCACAACTACTGAGCCCGCATGCCACAACTACTGAAGCCCGTGCGCCTAGAGGACATGCTCCGCAGCAAGAGAAGCCACTGCAATGAGAAGCCCTTGCACTGCAACGAAGACTAGTCCCCACTTGCCACAACTAGAGAAAGCCCGCGAGCAGCAACGAAGACCCAACGCAGCCAAAAATAAATAAATAAATAAATCGGGAATGAAACGAGGACATCTACCATTATCATTTTATCCAATATTATACTGGAGGTCCTAGCCAGTGTACCTGGATTTAAAAGAAAAAAAACAAAAAACAACACAAAGACTGCCATTACTCACAAAGAAGATCTGCATAGAAAACTCAAAATAAATTATTAGAGTGAGACTTTCTGGATACACAATCTGGATACACAAGCAGTATGTAAATCATCAACACTGTCTGGTCTCCAGCAGTAAACAGTTGAAAAATGTGATTTGGAGAGAGGTTATTTAACTTGCCCAAAGTCACATGGCTAGTAAAGAGTCGACTAGGAGGGAGTTCCCTGGCGGTCCAGTGGTTAGGACTCAGCCGGCCCCCCCACCCCCGGCCCACCAAAAAAAAAAAAAATTGTGGACTAGGATGGAAACGGGGCTCCCTGCCTCCTGGGTCCAAGCTTTTAGTCCTGGGCTATATGCCTCTCTAGCACTGGTTGTACTTGTGCAGGAGCCTGTACCCCACCTTTGGGTCCGTTCCCACGCAGCGGGTGAGGCCTGAGCAGGGCCTCCTAGGGCTGGAGCCAGGGTGTCCTAGGCCCCCAGGGAAAGGCTCACCATGGGGAGGACGGAGGCCCGAAGAGAGGCCAGGGTGATGGGCTTCCTCTTTCTGTCGTCCTGGCTTGCTGGGGGCAGGATCTCCACGAGGTTCATCTCCTCTTTGGCTTTCTCCCCCAGGCAAATCTGAGAGGGGTGGAAAACGAGCAGGGTTCCTCCTCACCCAGAGGGCACCGGACAATCCCACCTGCTCCTCTGTGGCTGTCCAAGTCCCTCCCTGCTCCGTCCTTCCTCCCCTCCTTGGGGCTGGGGGGTACCCACCGTACTAAGCAGCAGCATACAGTCCTGCTTCCCCACCTTCTGGGGTCTGAAGGTCCAAGTCGGCTTCTCCTGGCTCAGCTCACAGCCTGCGAAGGGAGACGGAGGGCGGAAGGCGTGGCGTGGGGCGGGCAGGCTCCAGGGAGGCGCGCCTCTCTGCCTCCAGCCCTAGCCGCCCCCCTGCCCCCGGTGACGTACCCCCAGCCCCCCGGGGGCTCCGAGAACAGCCTGGAGCCTCACTCACCCCAGAGCAAGGCCAGTGTCGCCTTTTCGGAGGTGCTGCTAGTACGGCTGCGATTCATGATGCGGGGCGGGGGCCGAGCAGCTGCGAGGAAGGGCGCGTTACAACCCGCGGCCGACAAGGCAACCCACACCCGAGCTGGGGACACCCCGGCGGAGCGCTCCGCCGAAGGACGGTGCTTAGATCGCCCAGAGCGGGAGAGGTGAGCGAGGGGCCCGGCTACCCCGCCGGCCCTCCCAACACCCCGGGGGTGCAGCGCCGGTCAGCCGCGGGCAAGGCGGCTCGGTGCCCGGTCTCATGTCCACTCGGCCCCGGGCCCCGGCCCTCTCGCAACCCCTCCTCCACCTCACCGTCGCTACTCCGCGTGCGAGGCTCACGCCATAGGCTCCTCCTCGGATCGCTTCCCTCTTGGGCTCCCTCCCTCCGGCCTCATCCCGGCCTCACCTGAGGCCCGGCCGCCCACAGCGGGCGGTTATGAAGCCTGGGAAGGGGCAACGGGAGGTGTCTCATCAGCCCCATTCCGTTCTTCCACTCCTTCCTCCTCTTCGCTCCTCAGAAGCACCTGGAGAGCTCGTTAAAACACAAAGCGTTTCCCACGGGGAGGTCTGGGTGTGACCCAGAGAATTAGCATTTCTAACAGGTGCCCAGGTGCGGCGGACGCTGCTGGTCCAGGACCGCACCGTGAGAACCACGGTCCTGACCAATAGGGACTGACTGAGGTCTGCTGCCGGAGCCCGCCCAGCGCCCAGCGTGGAGATGCTTTGCTACCAGGTAGGAAGCGCAGCCTTGTCGGCCCTTCGTGCTCATTGCCTTTCTTCTTTCTTCGTGTCCTTTCCCTA